GGGGGGGTCAAGTTTTTGATACCCCCAGGCCAGCTGGATGGGGGGTTGGGGGTCACCACAACATGAGGAACTGTATTAAAGGGTCACGGCATTAGGAAGGTTGAGAACCACTGCTCTAATGCAACCTTAGAGACTATTCTAATTTGCACATTTTTCATTGGAATTAGGAAAGAAATATGCATTAGGCTACTATTCTGGTGCTCTCCAAATATGCTGGATCACTCTATTAAAAGCATGTTACTGTTACATTGAACAGCTCAACTTGCTTTGGTAACTGAGAAACATCCATGCCTGTGAATTATTATTCTTCTGTTACAAAGGAGTGAGAAAAACCAACTGTTTCTAATATGATCTAAAACAAAAAGAGAGAAAAGTTGTGGGTCAGGGATGCCAGAGCAGTATTTGTTATATTAAAAAGTAAAGGGGCACAACTGAGGAAAATTTAGACAGGAATCATCAGGGAAGGACCTTGCTCCATTGCAGATTATCCTTGCTGAGTCCTTGTTGTTCTCAAGAAAGAGATTTATGATCATCAGCCTTGTGTTGATAGTATGAGGTTCTCCTAGAACAGGGATAGGCAACCTTGGCTCTTTTATGACTCCTGGACTTCAACTCCCAGAATTCCTGAGCCAGCCATGCTGGCTCAGGAATTCTGGGAGTTGAAGTCCACGAGTCATAAAAGAGCCAAGGTTGCCTACCCCTGTCCTAGAACTTTAAACTTAATTACACCTGAACAATTAAATATGATAAAGAGTCAATGTTGCTCTTCAAAGAATCTCAGGTAGAAGCATCTGGAAATTATCCCTGATTAGGTGCTTGGAGAAACTAGCAGGAAAGGGGGGGGGGGAAGCTAGGCAATATTTTATTCCACGAAGCTATGTTTGGATAACCAAGCTTCCTTCCCCACACCAGATTTTGCAAAGAAGCCTAATATTGGTAGTTCCCACCAAATCAGCATAGATAAATGAAACCAAATGATTGGGGCAAATTACTTTGAACATTTAATATTGAAATTAAATTAAATATATTAATATTGAAACACTTGCACTAAGACTGAAGTAAGATAGTAGGCACAAACTGAAAATTCATTTGGAATTACAGGCTTGTTCGCTCTAAAGAAAATATAGATATGTAAGGTAGACCCATTCAGCGCTATACCCCAGTTGAGAGGAGACTACTGGTAAGCACTGTTATTCTTACTGGAAATAATGAGTTCGCTGGCAAAAGATCAGACTACTTGCCAAAGAAAAGGAAGAGAAATCACAACCTCTGTTTCCTTGGGAGAGTGCGGGGTCAAGAAATGATAGTTTCTTTTTTTTTTAATTACAATGTTCTAAACAAACACATTTTCAGAGGCACAAAATGTATTACAAAATAGACTACAAAGTCCAGCAGCTAATGAAGCCTACAATTGCAGGGCTATTGTTCAATAGAAATTCATGACCCTTCTTGAGCTTACTCTCTGCAGTGACAAGATGTGCTTTATGCTGATGTGATAAACAAAGCAGATATTATTTTGTACTGCTTATTATGTGCCTAGTGCAAAGCCACTTGTGCTTTGGTAAGTTACTGTCACTGGTGGTAGTACTCATACACTCAAAAAAGACCTTTCCTGTAAATTGTACCCTGGCCAATGCTCAAAAGGGTTTTCGGAAAGAGAATGGGAGCTCTCATTTATGACTAAATTAAGCAATCTACACACATCGTCTTTTGGTGTACTTCTACCCATTTCTGGCTGTAATTAACTGAATGCTATATAACTACATTCATATTTAATTATATGGTTGGTGTAAACTACTTTGGGAGACTGCTGTCTGAAACAGAGGATAAAATTGCATAGAAATATTGTTCTGTGATAGTAATGGCAAATGAATGAAGGCAGAATTGAAGGGGGGTAAAAAAGAAACCTGGAAAGAAAAACCAACTTTGCACTCATTTTCCCCTTACTCGGAGATATTAATCAACATGGCATTGATGTATACAATTCTTAAAAATGACCAAAGGTAGCCTCAGTTACAGAATGACTGATCTCTATCTTATAAGTCCAGGACTACAGAACCAAGACCTCTCACATGCTTTCCTCAAGGCAAATTACTCATTAGATTATGATCCAAGGTTGTTTAGAAGGTAATAAAAGTTCAAGGAAAAAATTTCTGGAAAATATCCAAGCATGACCTTGCATGTTTGAGCAATACATTAGCCCAAATCTTATCCATCCAGACTGAATACAATTCAGTTGAAGTGTGTTTGTTTTTCCTCAATTAAAAAGAAAAGCACTTTTTGAAAAACAATCACAACAATCAAAAACAGATCCCCTTTTGCCAAAAATACAAAGAAGAGCCTCCACTGATTTTGGCTCATCAAATAGGAGTAATTAAGAATGTGTAAATATTCTTTTCTCATGCCAATCACCTGGCCTATATTACTGGGAGAGGTTGTGTGGATGGATTCATGCAGTGGTTAATTCTTGCTTGAAAGTGTAGGTGATTCCACTGGTTACAAAAGAGGTATTGAGAAAATGGTTTCGCAAGAAACCATTGCTGAATCCCAAGGATCTCAACAATTTTCATCCAGTCTCCAACCTTCCCTTTTGAGAAATTAGTTGACCTACAATTCCAAGATGCTCCGGGAAGCAGATTATCTGGTACCTCTTTCAGTCAGAGATACAGTACAGTACTGAGATAGCATTGGATGTTTTATTTATTTATAAGATGTATAAGGCCGCCTAATTAAGGTATTGTGACTATAGGTGGTGTACGCATTAAAAAAAGAAAAAAAACACACAGCAATAAATACGGGTAATCCTCAATTTGCAATAGTTCATTTAGTGGCCGTTCAAAGTTACAATGGCACTGAAAAAAAGTGACTTACGGCTGTTTTTCAGTTACGACCTTTGCAGCATTCCCATAGTTATGTGAGCAAAATTCAAATGTTTGGCAGCTGGTTTATATTTATGACAGTTGCTGTGTCCCAAGATCATGTGATCACTTTTTCTAACCTTCTGTCAAGCAAAGTCAATGGGGAAACCAGATTCACTTAACAACCAGGTTACTAACTTATCAACTACAATGATTCACTTAACAACTGTGGTAAGAAAGGTCGTAAGATGGGTGAAAACTCACTTAACAAACGTCTCACTTAACAGAAATTTTGGGCTCCATTGGGATTGTAAGTAAATAATAAATACCAAATACAATATGGTGACCAAGTATTAACAAAACAGTCACAAGAGGACTCCTACTTACATGGCCTGGGGAAAGATCTAGTCTTAACAGCTTTCCTAAAGGATCATTGCTCTTATGGATGACCTCTGGCAGGCAAACTTGGGATTGAACCAGTGCATCCATCCTGGTCCTCCTTGACCCCTTTGGGGGATGGGAGTGGAGGATACTATTTGTGATGGTTCTTATCCTTTGTCTATGGATGGTTACAGTCAGTGTCGGGGGGGGGAGGAGAGGTTTACTCCTAGGTCCTTGCATTATTGAGTGCCACAGAGTTCTTCCTTCTTCTCTTTAATATCTACAGGAAACTGCTGGGGAAAGCCATTCACTGACACAGATGCAGTATCATCAATTGTACATCTCTGCCCCTGGCCATCTAAGTGACCCTGACAAGGTTCTGTCCAATGTTTAGAGGTTGCAGGGGTCTGGATGGCAAAGAGGTTTTCTCCCTTCTGGCCTCACCCAAAGCCCACTGGACTACTTCCCGTGTAAGGCAAGAACTGCGCTGCACATATTTTTTTATGCTTGAACAAAATGGATCTACGAATAGTTTCTCAGAATGTAAGTAGTGGGTTATATTTGTTCTGCATTGTTCGTTTAGTGTTCTATTTTTTTTGTAGGCTGTTCAGCCTCATGTTTGAGTTGTAAATAACAATTGGCAAACCAAAATAATGGTCATCAACCTAGTTAAAAACGTTTAGGAGCGTATAAAGTCAAATGCTGTGAGAAAGCAAAACCAGCTTTAAAGTATAATTTCTTCAACACACAAATTAAAATTTTAGTATCAGTTGGGAATTAATCAGTTGGCAGTCTGGTATCTGCCAGACATTTCAAAGTACAGCTGCCACAATCCTTTGCCATTAGTCCTGCTGGTCAAGGCTAATAGAAGGTGAGATCCAAAATATCTGGAAAGTGTAGCCGTCTACCTCAGATATAAGCCCAGGTTTGACAAGAGGTAGAATTGAGCCAACAGCTGTTGACATATGTGTAAAACTTAAAAACAGAAAAGAAATGCCTCTTCCTCTTACAAATACCTGAAAATTTAATAATTCATAGAAATACACCGTTAAACAAGTAAGAAGAAGTTGTATGTCATGCAGTTAATCAGGAAATCTTACCATTACTTGATTTAGAGAGTGGCCAGTCCTCTTCCAACCTGCTTGGTAAGCCATCTTTCTCTTCTGCAGTGCTGTATGTAGCTCGGCGATTTCTTAGAGATATATTGTCTTCTCCCACCATGGTTACAAAAAACTAAGACACTGAGAGAGGGGAGAAAGGGACAATTAGCTAATATAAAATGTATCACCTTTCTGTGACTGAGCAATTAGTTTTATTATTATATTTCAAGGCACTGAGGGATGAAACTAGTGAGATGCAAAATGAGGAGTCTGGCCCCACTTAAGACTACTTAAGGCAGGCCAGGTGCCACCAACGAATCAGAGTAAGAAAGGAACAGCAAGTGATTTCTTACAACAGATGAATGGGAAAAAGAAATTCAAATCTTGGGACATACACACAGAGAGAGCTAGATTCTTAGAACCACTAGAACACGGGTGTCAAACTCACTGCGTCACATGACGTGTCACGACATATCATGACTTTTTTCACATTGCCGGAGCTGGGGTGGGCGCAGCATCCACATGATGCAACCGGCCAACGAGCCGGCAGTTTGACACCTCTGCACTAGAAGCTTATTTACTTATTTATCAAACTTCACCTCTGGAATTTCTGCTAAAACTGAGTGCAGATGAGTGCAGTTGCATAAAATACATACAGCTCCTGATATTCCTTAACAAAGGAAAGTTCAGGGAAGCTCAAATGTCTCTATTACTTCTTTAGAATAAGTTCCTAGTCTTCATGGATTCTAGAAACATTGTCTGAGATGGAAGAAAGAAGTGTGGTCAGACAAAGAGCTATGGCTTGGCCTTGATTCAAAATATTAATATGCTCTCCTTCAAAATTACTATTTTTGTATTCATTATTTGGAATAAGTTACAGGATTTTTATTTCTGCCAATATTCTTGTTCTATCGGTCCCAAAGAATAATATTAAGTAAAGATACAGTAGAGCTTATCACTTTCTGTTCTTATGCTTAAGAAATTGTAGATTTTATCCTCCTCCGCCTTTGTTATATGGATATATAAAATAAGCACCCCTTTTCTCTTAACTGTCATTGCAGGAAGAAGTCACCAGATCCAGTTTTCAGGGAAGCCAGTTTTTATTCACCACAAATAATACAACAAAAGAGTCAATGCAAGTCTACATGAGAGTTTTATCTTTATCAACTGGATACCTATTATGCTACATTAGGCACATAGTTCTGCAGCAACATGACAATCTTTAATAAATCTATATAAACAAACACACCAATATCTTATTTTATCCATCTATCCATCAGTTGAAACAGTGGATTTGAATTGGTACAATACAGGCAGTCCTCGACTTACCATCACAATTGGGACCAGAATTTCCATTGGTAAATAAGGTGGTTATTAAGTAAGTTGTGCCCATTTTATGACTTTTTTTGCCATGGTTATTAATCAAATCACTGCATTTGTTAAGTGAACCATGCAATTGTTAAGAGCAACTGGGCTCCCCCATTGATTTTGCTTGTCAAACAATGGCGGGAAGGTTGTAAATGGTGACCACATGATCCTGAGGTGCTGCAACCATTGCAAATACATGCCAATTGCCAAGCAGTCAAATTTTTATAATGTGGATGCTGCTATGGTTGCAAGTGTGAGGACCAGTCATAAGTAACTTTTTTCAGTGTTACTGCAACTTTGAATCATTGCTAAATGACTGGTTGTAAGCAGAGGACTACCTTTGTTTTGAAAGTGTTTTTCCATCATATTTTAAAAACTTTTGTCTCAATTATTATGTCTACAGTTTTTAACAATAAAAGATAAAGACCTGCTGAAATCACCTGTTTTCATCCTTAATCAAACACACAATTGTTATTAATCCACCAAGTTACCATTTCTTTCTATAAATTTTAGCTTTGCCATCTGCTAGAGACAGAACAAGGATTCATCTCTTGGTTGTTCCTGTAGTAACAGTACAAAAGCAGCTTCCTTGGATTAAACTCCAGACAGAGCAACAGGGAACCATTCTACTTCCAATAGCTCACTGTACCATTTTATCAATAACCTTTCAGCTGGTTTTCCAAGTCTCAGAACTTAGTTCAAATGTGAACAAACTAGAATCTCAACATGTCTTTTCCATTATTTATTCTACTTTCTATCCCATATTATTATTTATAGCTATCACATTCCAAGTGATAAACTTCTCATGGCATACATTATGTGCAAAATCCAAAATTACGTTTAGCTATATCTTTTACCTGTGCCCTGCTCTCATAATAACCAGTACCTGTAGAGAATATGTACTTAAGATTCAGAAAATGGCACCTAGAAATGTTTTGAAAGCTTTTTTTCCAGAGCTCTCCAAACAAGAGGAACCCCGCCCATCAATACACTGGCCCTACCTTTGTTTTTAAAATAACATAGATGTGTGTGGTTCACATGTCAAATGTAGTTTATAGTATTAAGATTTTGACCTTCCGCAATGCCTGGATACAAATAGTTGCATCTTATTCAACAAACCATTTTTCAAACAATAGTAGGATTCTCACTGGAATAAAATGAAGGAATCATATCACTGATAGAACTTATGCAGAACTAATGCATCATTTCTGAAATTACAGTATGCTCTGCTATGAGTCTAATATATTAAAGGCCATTTAATATATTGAATATATACAGTATTTTGCAATATTTTCAGAGTATCCATAATCCTTCACTATGTAAGTCACTTGTTATTACTATTTTTATCACTGAAAATAAGAATTGATATTAGTTATAAGCTAAGCTCAAGCACACTGTTCCATTCAGTCTTAGCAGTAGCACTTAGACTGATATACTGCTTCACAGTGCTTTACAGCCCTCTCTAAGCACAGTCAGCATATTGTCCCCAATAATCTGAGTCAACTTTGAGATGGTGAAACTCGAACTCCCAAACTGCTGGCAGCCAGGAGTCAGCAAAAGTAGCCTGCAGTACTGCATTCTAATTGTCACCAGGGCTCTTTAGCTATAATACTTGTACACATGCATTTGGTTTAAAATAATAATCTGTTTTCGTCAGTGAATTAATCTAAGTATATTACCTATACTATACTAAGTATACTTCAAATGTTTCTTAACTCACATATTGCACTTTAAATATGCATTGCTCAATTTCAGCTTGTATTCAAAGCAAATAATTTTTAAACATGAAAATATACCAAACTTTATTTTCAAAACTAATCTCGTTATTCTATTTTTTAAGATATTTATGCAAGCTGAAACATCTTCTGTTTGCATACAGGTGTTAATATGCTGTGACCAACCAATCATTAGCTGTAGCATCCCCTTCAGATTTAGTAACCTCATATTTCTGCAACCCCCTTAGCCTGATCAAGCCAAGCGAGAGCTGTACTCTCCAATCCATTTGAAAGGCAACAGGCTGAGACCACTGGATGAAGATGATAATGAAAGATAAAATATTGTGCAACTAAAAAGAGGAGAAGAAAGCTACTGCATTAACCGCAAGAGAACTTATGAGATTCAGGAAGTCTCTACGTTTGATAAACAACAGAGAAGAAGAAAGTGTGGCAAAGTGCATTAGAAGGCACAGGATCATATGATCAGATTGCAAAAGGAAATGAGAACGTTGAATTTAAGTTTAGTCTACCGGAGATCATTAGTCAGTTTTCAAACTCTTAAAATGGAAGTGTTAAAAATCAGTAGTGTTCAGCAGGGCCATTTCTTTAATAGCAGAAAAAAAAGGAGGGACAGTAGTAAGAAATCATAACCAGATTGGAATTGCTTAAGAAAATATTCTCTTCAGCAAAAGCAAATTTCATTATTTTCCGCTAGAAATGGATCCAAGAAATGGGAAAGCATTTTGACTAGGTCCAGTTCTTTTCAGGGGTGCCAGTTCACCCAAATTCCCCCAGTCATCCCATTTACAGGCAGGCTGTCTCAACTAGGATTTTCTATGCTCCCCGACCCACACTTCCCTTTGTCCCACTCTTTTCAGTCCATGGTAGCTGAATTATTTTTGAGGTGCAACAGTAAATCATACCTTCTAGTTACCCTTGTCTCTATTGGTTTTCAGGAGCGTAGCCCCCTACAAAGTATAAAATGGTACTTTTAAAAGCAGCAGATTTAATATGGTATAAACTTTCTTCCACTCAAATCCACTTCAATAGACCCATTAAAAAGGATGAAAAAGAAAATCAAGTAGCTGTGAAATCAGACTATATAGTGGGCAACTGAACCAGGGCTTCACTTTAATAATTACAAACTATGTTTTATACTAACATATGATTCATTTATCTCCATCTATTCATTTATCTCCTACAAAACAGAAGAAAAACAGTTGGGAAATTTGTAGAAACGGATTCTATTTCAGCATTTATGCCATAATAAATGTATGAGACTTTTAAATATCATAGGAAGCTCAAGGCAATATAGACCAGGGCTTTTCAACCAGTGGTATGTGTACCACCTGTGGTACTTTGCCACGTGGCAGATGGTACGCGACTGCTAGCCAAGTGTAGCAGGGGAGGGGAATGAGCCGAAGCGAGCCAAGCTTGAGGGAGAGGCAGCTGCAGCTGCAGGACTGTCTGAGGAGCCGGCAGGGCTCCAGCTGATTGACACCAGCTAATTGGTGCTTCTGGAACCAGCGTGGAGGTGAACTGAAGAAAAAGGGGGGAGGAGAGGAGAGGCTATAAAAGGAGGTGGTTTGGGCAGGAAAGGAAAAAAAAGACAACAGGGAAAGAGAAGGAGAGGTCAGCCAGCAAGGAGGAAACAGGGACAGAGAAGAAGCAGCAGCTGTTCCTTGAAGAAAATGTCCCCTGGTTCGTTTTCTCCAGCCAGGAGAATGCAAACAGCACTGATGAAATGAAAAGCTATCATATCGGAAAGGAGGTGGGTTTATTTAGTTCTGGATCAGCTGGCAGCTTGATTGGGTTACCATAAGGATAGCAATGAGTCCAAAGTGTTGACTTGCGTAGGTTTAATCCCTTTAAACAAATGTAATTAATTTTACCCTCTTGAGTCTATATGGCTTTCTTTGTAGGTAAACAGGTTTAGTTTGAAAGCTAAAGCTTTTTGCAATTGTGAGCCTCTCAGTCTGGGATTGCAACATTGTGACAAGTGACACCTCTGAGGCAGCTTAAAGAAAGAAAAAACCCCCGGAGTTTATGTGTTTATTTTGTGAGCCTTTCTTGCTTTGCACTTGATTACTGTGTCTTTAAGGGTACAGGGAAGGGATGGGGTGGTACATTCGTACTACACTGTGGAAGGAGAGCTAAGAAGGGCCGACCAGCTAGTTCAGGGGTCTACAAACTTAGCAACTTTAAGAACTGTGGACTTCAACTCCGGGAATTCCTCATCCAGCCATGATGGCTGAGGAATTCTGGGAGTTGAAGTCCACAAGTCTTAAAAGTGCCAAGGTTGAAGACTCCTGAGGTAGCTGGTAGTGGTGCATATTAATAAACATGGATAAATTCATCATACAAAGGGAAAGTGATTCAGCAAAGGAACAGCCACCAAAGAAATTAAAACTGGTACTTTTTTACTTTTTTCCTACAGTTTGTAATATTTTATTAGATTATAGAATAAAATACAAAAATACAAAAGCAAATAGTAGGATACAGTGGGGAGGGAAAAGGGGGGAAAAGTGAGGGGGAGAAGAGAAAAAGAACAGACTTCTCCTGTTGCAGCAGAAGGAAGCATTAACATTGAATCTCAACTTTTTACTTTTCCATAACATTATAAACTAGCCATTTCTATAACAACAAATGAATCTAACCTAAAAGTGGTACAGTCTGGGATAAGATTGAAAAGCCCTGATATAGACAATACTCCTGACTCCTGTTTCACCCCACCCCCAACAATCCTATGAGGTAGGATAACCCGACAGTCATTTAGTTAGCTTTTAATTACAGAAGTGATTTGCCAATTTTCTTCTTAATCTAGCTAGAAAAAAACGGAATTGCTGAGTGATTTCTCTCTACCCAGATAAATCTTGCTTGGTAGGTGCAAATTTCATCCTTCTTCAATTTAATGCCATGAAGATATGATGGGCCAGTTCCATCATCCCCAGCTGGCAGAGAGAGATGGGCTGTGTAAAAATGATTATCAGACTGGCTATGCAGTAGAGACAGAGAGTGTTCTCCACTCCCCTGCACTTGCTAGGAAGGCTGAATATATGCCCTGAAATAAAGGGAGAAGCCACAAGATACTTTTCTTTCATCTTGTTCTCTTTTCATCCACGACCCCATTAGTCCAGCTCCTTCTCATCTGGATCCTTGATGGAGGGACTCCACATTGTACAACCCTCCACCAACCATGTGCACAAATCGGACATGAGGGAAGAGAACATTAGAGGATCAAGACAATCTGAAAACCCAGGGCTCCTGAGGCTATCATCCTGCCCTACGCCTTTCTCTGAGATTCAATCCCGTTGAAATTAACAGAGGAATCCCTTGTGGAGCCGAAATAGACAGGGTAAAGTTGCAAAGCTCCCTGGGGTTGGATGCCACAGGTCTCAGCCCTTAAGCACATGCGGAGGAAGCGGCCCAGCTCCCCTCGCTTCCTGTCCCCTTCGCCCCCTGCTCTTCAATGCCTTCGCCGGGTAAGAAGAGGGAAGTTCAGCAACCTCAGTCTCGCCTCTGCCATTTCTTACCTTGTGAACCGCCACCTGCCTCTACCGACTCCGCTTCGTCTCCAGCTTTGCGACTTTCACCACTACGCAGAGCCCAGCCGGCCGCCGTGCGTTTTTCTTCTCCGTTGCCTTCGTCACAGAGGGGCGGGGAAACCCACTCAAGAAAAGGACGAGTGTCGCCGCTGCCCATTGGCTATGGGCTGCAGAAAGCGGCCGGCTGCGCTAAGCTCCTGAATCCGGGTCCGGGTGTTCCTAAGCTGGAGGAGGCGGGCAAGCTAACTACCTTCGAAGGAAGCGGGTGGGCGTTGCTGTCGGGCCCCCTCTTGTGGGGAATGCTGTGGCGGAAAAGGAAGCTCTTTCCGAGCACAGGCCCAGAGGCAATCGCGACCCTGCCCCTGAGCTCCTATCCAAATGTATCCTGAGGGGAACTAATGAATTGGTGTGTGTGTGTATTTAGTAATATTATGGTGACTCACAACTTGTAGTTTGCAGCAGATTGACATGGCTAAGACATCCGTGCATTATATCATCCTTCTCTCTCTCACCCACGGAGTTTTGCTACCAGGACTTGCTTACATATTCAGAGATGTCAAATAAGATGCCCTAGAGTCAGCTTGAGGTCTGACGTCAAAGGCGCAACCAGTCTTTCCAGAGTTTAAAATTCAGGAATTCCCCAAGGGCTTTCCATCACCGAAGTTCAACCCCGCTTCTCTAACAAGACCAGGAGAGGCGAACCGGGTGTTTATGATACTTAATGGTTGTCTGAATTGCACGAAACATTGAAACAAGTTAACGCTGATCAAATTCATTCAGCCTCTAAGGTTAAAACATGATTAGTCATTTCAATATGACTATGTGAACACAGCCTATGGAGTTGACTTAACTCTGGCCAGGTTTATTGGGTCCACATGTCATTCAATGTCAGCCTAATTTGTTCAAAATGTTGGGCTAAAATAGCTCAAGATGACAATTCCTATCAGCCATAACAGTAGTTTGATTACAACTCTTAGCATCTGAGCTGGATGGGGTAATGTAGTTTAATATAACTGGAGGACATCGGAATGGTGAAGAGGGCTAAGACAGTCAAATGCTTTTATATGGCAGTAGCTTGTGACAAAGGCACAAATGCTAAACATTATTTTAAATGTATAATTGGGGTGCATTAGTTTATATGTCATCTAGTCAGATTTTGATGCCTATTACATTTTAGGTTAAGAAATCTGGTTCAAACAAATGCAATCTTATCAGCAACATCAGTCTCTGGAAAATTCTGTATTGCAATGTCCTTGAGTAATTTTTCATGTCAGTGTTTTTCACCTAAGGAATCCAAGAATGTATATCTTGACAAGAAAAATGGGTTGTTTTCATCAAGCTTTATACAAATGTGTGTTTCAAGTCAAATAATTTAAACTGTAGTTATTTACTCTTTTAACAAAATAGAAGTAGTAATGGATTCTGAAATTTCTTTCAACACTAGAAACCAGGAGATGGTGAATTCTAGTCCTGCCTTGAAAACCAGCTAGGCGTCCTTGAACCAGTCACTCCCTTGGTCCAACCTACCTCAGAGGGTTTGGTTGTGTAGAAAACATGAGAAAAAATTATTAGATACATTTGCTGCCTTATTTATAAAAAATAAATATGGCATAAAAATCTAATACATAAATAAACACCTTAATTTTAGTTCTGCTGTGGGTCACATGACCTTGAAGGAAAGTGGAGGGGCTTAAAATGGACATTCTAATTTTTCCAGCATTTGCTGAGCTACCTCTCCTTTATGCTAAGAATGCATTAGAGAATTTTTTCTTTCTGCAGTCTCCAGCCACATCCACTCCATTTATAGTCTCTCTGTCTCTCTCTCTCTCTCTCATTAACAGTTTTTTATTGAGCTAGAAGATGAATACAGAAATATATCAGAGATGACCAGTTGCGGGCTTGCGGATTCTCCGCACCCCCGTAGCTAATTTTGCCCTCCCTGGGGACTCTAAATGGGTCTAAGTCGCCCCGGAGAGGCGACGAAGAAAGAAGGGTGCTCCAGTGATTCTGGAACAGCGGTGGCCGTTCCGTTCGATTTAGGGAAAGCCTTCTAACCCTCTTAGAATTTTGAAAACAGCAAGCCAGCTAAATTAAGGAAGAAGTTGTCACACAGAGCTTGGGAGGAACTTGTAGTCATTGGCAAATGTTCTTAAATCAGGCATGGACATGCAAGGGATGGCAGATATTTGATGCCAGCAAAGCTATACAGTATAATTTTCCTACTGACTCAGATAAGGAAATGAGTGATTTGTTCCCCAAGTGATTTTTAGCCTAAATGTATAGTTGGGAAATAAATGTTCAGGAAAGGTAGGTCTATCGATAGCTGTGTTAGTAAATAAAAGTCTCTGTTCAGGAACAATGTTCTTAAGAGTTGCTACTTTTCTAACGGTTTACAAACTGGCACACAGATTGGAGCCTGTTAGGCAAGGAAAGATTTATTTTCTTGTGAAACAGTGCCACCTGATGTCATTTTTTAGAAATTTGAAAATTAATGGAGTCTTTATTTAAAAATGATACGTTATTTGGCTCTTTTTCTAGATAAGAATGCATGAGATTGCAAGTATTGTTATTAGCAGATATTATATCTATAGATGAACAATAGCTTAAAGTTAAGGTGCTGGCCTAGAAACCAGGAAATTTTGAGTTCTAATCCTGCCTTAGGCATTAGCCTGATGACTTTGAGTCACTCCCAGTTACTCTCTCTTGCCCAACCCATCTCACTGAGTGGTTGTTGTGGGGAAAAAGAAGAGGAGGAAGGATTATATATATATTTGCCACCTTGAATTACTTGTAAAGATGGGATAAAAATGTAATACATAAAATAACAATATCCATCTAGCAAATGAAAGGCAGGCATTCATGCTTTTCTTTCAAGTTGTTCACTTCATGTGAACAAAAAATATTAATATGATTTTGTATTGCAAAGACCATGGCTTATATAGCTTTCATAGTAGTTCAGATTTGTTATACCTGTTTTGCTAAGGAAGGGCACTGAAAAACAGTAATAATCTTCCATACCTCAGATGTGCTTCAGAATTCCCAAACAATATGGTAGTTTGGGCTAATGTAGGACGGGCAGTAGTGTCCACTTTCTTCCTGGTATTTAAGAAAATGCAACACAGGGAGACATAGGTGTGACCAAATTGATCATAGCAATAATGTGGGAAGGAAGGGAAATATTGGAATGTTTTCTTCTATGTTAAATTATTGTACTGGCAGTAGCCATTTTATAAAAAAGATGACTCTTGCCATTTGAAACAAACCAGCACATAATGTACCACACTTTATGTAAAGGAAGACATACATTTTAGGCATACCCATGTAAACGAAAACTTTTACCTTATGCATAGAAAAAATGTATCAGTTTTAGCTCTAAATAAAGAGACATTTGTTGAGCTATAAATAAAGAGGCATCTGCTGGATCTGTAAGATAAGGAATTTTATTTTATTTAAAATAATTTATTAATATATATAATAAACATAATAACAAGTGCTGAGTGTATTAATTTTTGATTTGGATTTCAGAACAAAAATATTCTATGCAAAATATATATATCAAATTAGAGCAGAGGTCATTCATGTTCAGATGTATCTCAGATTACTTAGAACAGAAACTCTGTGAGGTAGAGATGTTGTATTTTCCAGTATTTAACAGAATTCATTATCCATACATAATGACTGTTAATTTTTCCTTATTTAGGAACTATTGGCCAAGTAAATCACTCAGATTTATGGAAGTAATTACCTTGAAGCAAATCAACCCAATCATATCAAGAACAGAGAAATGGGCAGTTTTAACAGTAGCAAATGTACTTGAGTATGTCATTGGTTTTTTTCCATTTGGTTTTTTTGTACAGTATGCACCCAGGGGCGGGGCCAATGCGGCAGGGGCTGGTTTCTCGCTGTTTCCAGATGGCCTTATGGAGCTAAGACAATGCATAGACGGCCACCACAAAATTGTACATTGGCTCCCGGCCAGCCTGGGCCAGGGCCAAGGCAGAGGGGGCCGTTCCCTCACTGTTTCCAGGATGGCTTCGTGGGCTACATAAAACCACTTCGCAGGCCGCATCCGGCCCCCGGACCTTGTGTTTGACATGTCTGACCTATGGAATTCTTACTGCAGATAGCAATTATAGTCAACTAGGGCAATATTAGCATACCTGAGTCATTCCTGCTTAGGGTGCAGACCTGAACAACCTGTGATTCTTCAAGTTAAAATTAAACTAACTAGAATAATCAATTTGTTGCATGTGCCATAAAGGAATACCAACCTTTAGAGAATAAAGGGAACATTTTATTACAGGAGATTGCAATCCTTCATATCCCAAGCAGGGGTCGTGGCTTCTGTTATTGCAAACAGAAAGACACATTCATATCCTCCAGGAAATCTTTGTTTCCATTCATAGCAATTAAATAAAGAAGGTTAAAATAACTATCTTAATTTCCTGCTTTTATTGCCTGATAGTGATGGGAGTTCATCTTCAGTATGTCTTGAGGTCAAATTACAGAAAGTTGATTAGAATTTATTTAGATGTTTCATGAATATTACATATCTGTATGTTTATGTACACACAGCTAGGTTGTGTAAGCATCTTGCATGTGATTTCAAAGTTAGAAGTGACATAAAGGTCTCTACTGACTACTATTGCTGGATCATGGTTGTCACCCAACCACAGATATCACCATTATGACTTCTCTGTGGAATTTAGTATCTTGCAAAGTGTCTTAGTTTTCACCTTATCTTTTTCTCTGGCAAATAACTTGAAATTCTGAGAATTACAGTCCAATAATTTGGGGGCCATCATGTTAGCAAAGAAAATGTCAATGTGCGCTCTTGTGGCAGTTTTCTAAATATATAACCCTTCATCATTGCTTACAGAGAACACTAAATTATTTTATTCTTCTGTCACACATAAGGACATATAGTTCTTCAAAATTCTGCAAAAAAATCCAAACTTTGTTTCCTGAAGTGAAGGGTACATGCAAAATGCATAAACCATGTGACTGCATCTGACAAGCTGCAGATCTTGAGGGTCTTCCCAGACAGGCTATTAGATCCGGGCTGCTAAAATGCAGACAATTAT